ATTTAAGATACGCAAATTCAGCTATGCGAATAGTGTAGCTGAATTCGACGTATCGCAGCCGACTTACCCCGCTGTAGGGACGGCAGCAAAATCGACCTCTGCGGCTTCCCGTCGACGGCGCTTACTCCCACCTCCGCTGGTGGAGTAAGAGCGTCGATTCGGGGATCGATTGTCGCGTCCCAACGGGACGCGATAAATCGATCCCCGAGAGGTTGATTTCTACCCGCCGATTCAGGCGGGTAGTGTAGACCCAGCCTCAGATTTGACAGCAAGCTAGTCCTTAGAAAGCAAAAACACCTTTGTGTGTTCTAGTGAAAACTGGTTTTGACTTGCCTTTGATTTTGGGTGGGGGTGGGAGTTCTTGCAATCACAGTGCAAATGATCTGCGTTTTTTAGTCCTTTTTATAAAAAATATGCGTGAAATGCTGGCCCCATTGAAATGAATGGCAAAACTCCTATTGACTTCAAGAGGGAGGTATTTCACCTGCAAAATAAAAGTTGGTTGCTCTGGCCATGCGCAGGCGACGCAGTAAGGCATAGACAGAACGAGGAAGGGCTCCAGAGGAACTCTACCTCATCTAGACCCTTATCCTACTCTAGAGCTGGTTGACTTTTTTCACTGAAATGTTTTTGATGGAAATAGGCAAAAAAATTAACGTGGGGGGGGGGGTCATTATTTTGGGAGAGGGAGGCTGACAAAAAAATAGAAACCAAAATTGGGTGGGGGGTTGAGGTTCAGGTTTTTGTCAAGAAACAGAAAAACGTCCATAGGTTATTTTAAAAAAGAAGGGTTTTTTTTACATTTCTTGCAAAAAATGATCGGTATTTTTTGAACCAACTCTATCCTGGACTATTGCAGTCAATGAGACTTTGTCATTGTCATTCATTCCAATGGGGGCAGAATCCGGCTCTAAATTCACATCAGCTCATGCCCCCGAAGTGCAAAGAACATAGTGTTTTCAGTTAACTTTAATTCTTTAGCCATCACGCACTAAAAGTTTTCTGCAACTTTGAAAACCTGATGTTCCTTGGTGCTGATTCAGCGGGGTACTTAAGGATGTGCCTAACTTTAAGCATAGAATATTCCCATTGAATTCAAAGGGCATGAGATTAATCCCTCAAGCAATTAGAAATTTATATTTTGCGAGTTGTGCCTGAAACTAATTGCAAGCCCAAGACTGAACCCATAAAATTAGAAGCTCAAGAGGAGCCTCTTTTCAAAATCAGGATCTACATGATCTATATTTAGCATGGTATTAAAAATATTTGTATTACTTTCGGAATGTGCATTTGCTCTGGGATTAAATGTTGATAGTATTCCAATCAATCATTCTCAGTAACTACATTTTAATATTCATGAATAATATACAGTCCAGTAATTTCAGGGAATGGTTGTATCAAGATATCAGCTAAGAAAAAACTATTTTATTTCTTTTAAGGAAAGGTAATATAGAAGAAGTATTTTCATCAGTTTTCTTACATAAACTCCAATGGACTGTAGCGAATACACCCAAATGACCGAGTTGAGGACTGATTGCCTGCACATGCCATTTTAGATTATTCTTCACCTGGAGCTATTTTAAAATTGTGACATCTGGGGAAAATACTAAAAATAGTGACAACTAGTGTGTGTGCCAGGCCATAAATCAGTCTACTGAATGCTTGAGGGGGTGTGGTCTATGCACACACAAGTCTTGTTAATGTTTGCTGGAGTTACACCCAAACACTGGAAGGAGAAACAGACTCTTATGCACTGCAGGATTTTTACTTTCAGATTTTGGAAGCTGAAAAGTAAAACAAAACTGAAGCCTGAAATAGGGTTGCCAGGTGTTCGGTTTTGGACCAGACTGCCCAGTCTAAAAGGGACCCTGGCGGCCAGTGCTGACTGGGCCGGTAAAAGTACGGTCGGCAGCACAGCAGGGCTAAGGCAGGCTCCCTGCCTACCTTGGCTCCGCGCAGCTCACAGAAGCAGTGGCATGTCTGCCCTTTGGCTCCTATGCGGAGGGGCAGTCAGGGGGCTACGCACGCTGCCCCTGCCCCAAGCGCCAGCTCTGCAGCTCCCATTGGGTGGGAACCACGGCCACTGGGAGCTTTGGGGGCGGCGCCCGCAGACAGGGCAGCGCACAAAGCCCCCTGGACCACACCTCCTCCTAGGAGCCAGAGTAGGGACATGCCGCTGCTTCCGGGAGCTGCTTGAGGTAAGTGCCGCCCAAAGCCTACACCTCTGAGGCCCTCCCGCGCCCCAACCCCCTTCTCCAGCCCTGTTCCCCCTCCTGCCCTCTGAATCCCTCAGCCCTAGACCGGAGCCCCCTCCTGCACCCGAAACCCCTCATCCCCAGCCCCATCTCAGAGCCCGCACCTGCAGCCAGAGCCCTCACACATCCCGTGCCCAACCCCCTTCCCCAGCCCTGATCCCCCTCACGGTCCCTGAACCCCTCAGTCCCAGCCCAGAGCATTCTCCTGCACTCCAAAGCTCTCATCCCCAGCTCTACCCCAGTGCCCACACCCCCAGCCGGAGCCTTCACCCCCTCCACACCCCACCCCCTGCCCCAGCCCTGATCCCCCTCCCACCCTCCAAACCCCTTGGTCCCAGCCCGGAGCCCCCTCCTGCACCCCAAATCCCTCATTCTCGGCCCCACATCAGAGCCCGCATCCCCAGCCAGAGCGCTCACACCCCTGCCCCGGCCCAGAGCCCCCTCCTGCACTCTGAACCCCTCAGCCCCAGCCCCTCCTACACCCCAAATCCCTCATTCCCAGCCCCACCCCAGAGGCCACACACCCCCAACCAGAGCCCTCACTCCCCCCGCACACACACACACCCCAAACCCCTGCCACAGCCCAGTGAAAATGAGCGAGTGAATGAGGGTGGGGAGAGTGAGTGACTAGTGGGGGGGACAGAGTGAGCAGGGGCGTGGTCTTGGAGAAGAGGCGGGGCAGGGGCAGGACCTCGGAGGAGGGGCGAGGCACGGGTGTTTGGTTTTGTCCGAGTAGTAAGCTGGCAACCCTGGACTGAAATGAGGTCTATTATATGGGTACCTAGTCAGAAGAACCAAAGCAAGAATAGTGAACAGTATTACTTTGCTTAGTATAACATACATTAATGGAACACGAAGGAATAGTTTGTGCATGAGCACTGAGCTTTCATTCATTAATTAAGCACTCATTTGTCTTGTGTTAGAGAATGGATGCATGCAGCGTTCTTTGCAATGGGATTTTGCTGATTAATTCTCCACTGGTTGAATTAACAGGCACAAAACAAACTACAAATCCAAGCCCCCCAAATTTTGGTGCAGTTCCAACCCAGATTCAGACTCTGAGTTGGCTCCTACGGTCCGGGGGCTTTAACATTTAAACCACTCTGGTCCTGCCCTGTAGGGGAAGTTCCACTGAATGGCACTGTGTTCCTGGAATCAATTAATTCTTCATAGGGCCTCATGGACTTTATCTCTACAATGGGCGCAAACCAAACAGACCCAAACACTAGAGAAATTTAGACCTCGATCCAAACATGTTGGGTGGCCACATGTCTGTAATGTATCAGAGGGGTAGCCCTGTTTGTCTGGATCTGTAAAAAGCAACAGAGAGTCCTGAGGCACCTTTAAGACTAACAGATGTATTTGAGCATAAGCTTTCGTGGGTGAATACCCATTTCGTCAGACGCATGTCTGTAGTGGTTTCAGACCAAAACCCCAGAGGCGAACCCTGCAGCAGTCTGGATCTCTAGTTATAACAAAACACTTTTATCTCTGATTCTGTGTACTGCGTGATCTTCTGATATACAAGCAACTTGTCCGGTGAAATATTAAAGGGACTGAAAAATCACGACATTGCAAATGTGTTTGCTAAGCAAACAACAAACCTACATTAACTTGTAATTCAGTGCAATGGACCACATCCTGCTCCCAATGAAGTCAGTGGGAGTTTGGGAGTAGGATTGCACCCTATATATGGAAAAATGTCATCATAAGGCTAAATATAGCCTGCCCTGATGAAAACCATGATATAGCCTGCACTGATCAAAGCCATGCAGCACCAAAACTAGAGTTACTGGGAAAATGGACAGCCCCTTTGCAGCATGGGGGTTCCGTTCAGAGTGGGAAATGCCGATTGGCTCATCCATTGGATTAATCCTTCCTCCACCACTGACTACCATAAAGCACTGCTTGACCTAACTTTCGTTATAGTATCCAAGAAATCGGAATGTTTGCTGTCGGCACACTGAAATTGGTGATAATTTATACCAGAGGGAAAACACCCTGTATATGAGTAACTAAACACCACAAACAAAATCAATCCGGTGTCCAATTGAGCAGGAGGAAAATATACAAAGAACTGTTCCTTGAAAAAAACTGTTCTGTATTCCTGAAGACTCGACCAATTCAAATAAAAAACAGGAGAAAAGGATGGAAATGGCAGTCATAATAATCATGCTGCAATCCTTTACAGTAAGTTCAGAAGCAATGCTGCAACATTTTGAACTGACGACAGCTCTGAGTGAGCACTTTCCAGCAGCCTGCTTTCTGGAATCAATCTGGAGCTCCAACATTCCCCACCCTGGCCAAGCTCGAAAGATCTAGGGTAGAACCACGGTGAGGCTTTACAAACCAACACATGGGAATGGCTAGACAAAGAAAAGGGAGATACATCAATTACTTATTTCTCTGTAAGGCAAATCCTGTAGTCTTTACATAGCCAAAATTCCCACTGAAGTCAAAGGGTCTGCAGGAGTCGGCCCTCATAAATCATCACTTTCACCATCAGCAAGCAACGGAAAAACATACTTGCTGGTTTGCGTTTCCTTTGCTTTTCCTTCACTCATGGACACAGAGCCAATGCTCTCAACCTGCGTTTTTCTTTGCTTGCCCTTCTGCAGGCTTTTGCACCCCCTTTAACATACGCTTTTGAATAACATGTAGGTCCCATTTATTTAACTGGAAATTGGATCGTGTATGTCTGAATGATCTTTAAATGCTGATAGTCTGGGTCTGAGGGTCACTCACCTTCCACATCCATTGTGACCGGTTTCGAGTAAGCTGCACCCAGGCTGTTCTTTGCTACACAGCGATAATGTCCTGCATCTTCTCTTTGAACATTATGGATCCTTAGACTCCCTGATTCCAGAACAGCAATCCGAGCATTTTCCTGCCAGAGATGGGAAGGTGGGAGTTGGGAAATGGAAAAATGAATATACTTTAACTTGTTGCGTCAAACAATTAGAAACTTTTATTTACAAACGTGGAACCTCCTACAGGATTTGGTAAGTGAATTCCAAAATACCTTTTAACAGTGCTACAAGTAAATGTTCACCTTTGAACAAGACTTATTTGTACAGTCCTATGAATTAAGGAATTTAGAGCTGGAGCCTCCAGTCCAATACGTTCCGCTCGTACTGTTCAAGCCATTCACACACCCAATTTTTTACAAATAAGTGAATAATAACTTCAAAAGCCTTCTGTTAGTCTCAAAGGTGCCACAGGACCCTCTGTTGCTTTTTACAGATTCAGACTAACATGGCTACCCCTCTGATACTTCAAAAGCCTTGTGAATGAATATCTGCAAAGCAGATCAGTATGTTTTATTCACAATTAGATTCACAAACTCTTTTTGGGCTACATTAGTTCAGATCTACTATTAATTAAAAAATGAGAGAGAGAAATTCAGGAAAAAAAATTCTATACCGGTAGAATTACCCCTAAACAAAAATCTTGTTTTGACATTTTCTACGTGACCTCGTGTCTCTTTAAATGCTTCTCTGATAGAATTTACAAATACTTGGACTGATTATGTCACCCATATTTTTAGCATGCAAGTGATATTTTAATTTCATTCTCTACTCACCTTTAGAACAGTTTCTCCCTTGATCCAAGAGACAGAAGGTTTGGGATTCCCCATTGTAGTGCAAGGAAGAACAGCCTTTAATCCTTCTATTATTTTTACATTTACTGGAAGACGAGTTATTTTAGGTTCTAAAACAAAAAAGGCCAAAATTAAATCTGAACAGCAGACAAGAGACACGGTTCAGATACACTCAATACTATTCTTTATAATCAAAAATCCCCTGTCTGCATCTCTGTACAAATAGTCTGTATTGCTGTCACCAAGGCCCAGGCCTCAAAGGTATTTAGGTACTTAAAGTCTTGGAAGATCTGCGCCAACCAAGAGAGTTCTTGATAGGTCATGTAATTCCATTGAAAGAAATAATTATAAACTATATCTACACCCTAAAACGTTAAATTCAGATAAATGACACCAAATCATTTTCAGTAAGAGTGAAATTTGACACTGATCTGAATTAGTCGGATCTTGGGCAGAGATCCAGATAACAATCTCTCCCATGCTCAAGAATATTTGTCTTCAGGGTTTTTGCTTTGCCCATTGTAAAGAGAGCATTTACTGTGAAAGTTTGGATCTAGATTCAGACTTCCTCAGTGAGTCCAAATGCAGTTTTAGATCAGGTCCATTTGTAATCCAAGAAGAAGGGTGTGTGACAGGAGTATTAACATTGGGATATTCTGAGCAGGCCCACCGATGGGTGGCGGGGAGGGCAAAGGGGGCAATTGCCCGCCCTCACTCTGCGCTGATCCCGGAAGCAGCCGGAACGGCCCTACAGCCCCTGGAGTGGGCAGGGGTTCTCCGTTGCGCTGCTCCCACCCCGAGCGCCGACTCCGCTGCTCACATTGGCCAGGACCTGCGGCTAATGGGAGCTGCGGGTGTGGTGCCTGCGGACAGCAGCTTGTGGAGACCCCATGGGCCCCCCCGCCTAGGAGCCGCTGTCAGAGGGGTGTACCGGTCACTTTCGGGAATCGCCTGAGGTAAGCATCCTGACCCCCTCCCACACCCAAACTCTCTCCCAGATCCTACACCCTGCACCCCCTCCCATTCCCAAACTCCCTCCCAGAGCCCTACCTCTCATCCCCCCACACACCAAAACTCCCTCCCAGAGCCCGCACCCCCTCCTGCAACCAAACTCCCTCCCTGGTTTGCATCATATTTTTTTCAAAAATAAAAGCTAGTGACTTTGACTGAAACGCCTTTGGGCAATATTCGATACGTATTTCAAGGCCTCCAAACCTTGTTTGGTCGGTTTGGCTGTATTCTGCTTAGAAAAGTCACCAAATTCATCTAACTTGGGGACTGGAATAGTTCCTGGTGGTGGACATGACTAACTGTAGCAAGACTCTACGATCTCACAGCAAACACTGCCTCATGCATACAGACTCTTCCTTCCAATCTCTTTTCTCCTCTAAGCTGCCGGTTTCCCACCCCAACTCTCAAATAGACTCTTCCTCTCTACTTCCCCTTTACACTAGCTGAAGATTTGGTCCATGACTTTTTTTTATCTGATATTGTCTCTTCAGACTAGAACATTGCAGGCACAATCTTTCCATGAGTACAATATATTTCAAGTATTCACTGTAATAAGCTGCTTTAGGTTTTTTTGTCAATGGGATGTGGCAAAATGTGAATTCACATGCCAGTATGAAGGGAAATGATAAACAAGGCCCAGCCTATTGATTAACACAAAAGTTGCTGAAATGGGGGCAGCTGCTTGGATTTCTTTGAAGTCAGTTTTTAAAAAAATCTAACCTGCCGCCGTGGGGCCTGGGGAATGGTGGGTTACGCCATTCAGCGTGGAATAGGGGCACTCCTGTCCCCATCTGTAGTGGGTGGAAGGACTGTCATCGCATTGCTGTTGTGTTGGGGAGATGCACCGAAGTGGTAGGGGCATTATTCCCTCCAGTGAGGATGGATCTTAAGACTAATAGTCCTCTGCAAGTTCCTAGATGAGCTCCACAGTGAAAATGTCAGCCGGGGGGAACAGCCTTTTTGATCTTTTGAAACATTAGAGCAGTCTTCCATGGTTGTCAGTCAGGAAAGATACTACCCTACCTCACGGTTCTGAGAGTCACAGGGAACATAGCATGGAAATTTCCTTTGGTGCATGAAGCTTGAGCAGCGAATTGTTTTTCTCTCACACTTTCTGTGCAGGTACTCTAAGGATTTCTTTTATTTTCTGTCAAGAAATAGCTGGGGAATAGCATTAGGGATTGGATGGTCAGAACAGAGAACATGGTCAACTCATATGCATAAGCAAAGACCCAAACGTGGTCACTTGTATGCAAGAAACACTGACTACATTTGCCAGATGTAGAAACCCCATGCAAAACCAGAGGTGTGCGTACAGATATGCAAAAACAGAAAGGGCGTCATGTGTAAATTGTCTGCATTGTGCAAAGAAAAGTTTTGTTTGTTTTTCAAATAGCAGCAGAATGGAGTCTTAAGTGTCTGCTAGATTAATTCAAAAGGAGAGATCAGCTTTTATCATCCACTCAGTTTAATTGCTTTGAAAGGGCTCCCCCCACTTACTCATTTTCACCTGTAAAGCCCCACAGCTTCTTGCAGGCACTCCAACTCCATTGTCAGCTGAGCAGCAGTATACTCCATCATCGCTGTCCTCTACGCTGCGAATGGTCAGAAGCTGCCCATTTTCTTGTATGCTGTATCGTGTATCAAACAGCCTGCAGGGTACAGTGACATGCTGGTAAGAGCACAAGGTGTACAGTATAAATCTGAACTCATTTTAAGTCATCAAACCCACTTCAAGTTTAGCTTTGTCTCGTGGTTCCTAAAATGGTGAAACTTCTAAATGTAATTATACCAATTTAGTGGCAGTTCTGAACACTCTTCTGTCTAATCTGTGGTATTTATATAACATCAATCACTGTGAACTATATGTGTTGAGTATCTAGGACAATTATCCTGAAAAGGGATATACAAGCACAGAACCTTGCATCCACCTGAATCTCCAACAGTCTTCACCAAACGGAGACATATTTTGAGTGCAGTTGAGGTGCATTTGACTTCGATGAGGATTTGTCTGTATAAGACCTACACCTGGTTGAAAATTTTTCATCACACCTTTTTTGGACAAACAATGTCTTTTCAAATAAATGGAAATTTTTGTGAAAAGATGTTTGTTTTTTATCAAAAATGTTCAGGTTTTGAGCAAGAAAAAGCCAAGCAACCAAACTGTTTCTAGCATCCAAAACAGTTTTTATTTTGTTTTGAACCAGAAAAAAAAATTATGATAATTTTTCATGAGAAATTTTTTTTACCATCCATCTCTAATAAGGACTACAATACCTGAATGTGGTTATAACTTAAATGACAGCAGGATCTGGCCCACCGACCTAAGAGAAGGAAAGAAAATTCCTAAGGCCACCACAAAGCTGTGAAGATTTCCATGTTTTGGAAGGACAAAGTGGCCTGGTAGATTAAGTATTGTGTAGCAATGAAAAATTCCTAGGGAAGAGGAAGGGGCTGTTTTGTGGTTTTCCTTGCAAAACTGCAAAATATAACAAACTTTGCAGTCATTTTAATGGTGCAAGATTTCTCCGGCTTGCATCCAATATCCCATATCCATCATTTTGAGTTTTACATCTTTCTGTGACCTTTTACAACTGCGTAAATGAAAATAGCCTTTTGCTTCTGACAAATGTTACTGAAATGAGGAGTTCTGCCAAGCAGGTCCAAACCCCCAACGCCTTATTTGCCCTGTTTTCTTTTAGCGGTAAAACATTTTGCATCATGTCTAAATTCACCATTTATGATTCTATAGGCTCAGCTTTCCAAAGTGAAGTTAGATACCTCTAAACTGGGGGGGGGCAAACTACGGCCCGTGGGCTGGATCCAGCCCCTCAGGGCTTTGGATCTGGCCTGCAGGATTCCCTGCACCCCTCCTGCACCCCAACCCCTGCCCTGAGCCCCCTCGTACACTCCGCACCCCTCCTGCACCCCAACCCCCTGCCCTGAGCCCCCTGCCGCACCCCGCAACCCTCCTCTGCCCCAATCCCTTGCCCTGAGCCCCTTCCTGCACACCGCACTCCCACCTCCTCCCCCGGCCCTGCATACAATTTCCCCACCCAGATGTGGCCCTCAGCCCAAAAAGTTTGCCCACCCCTGCTCTAAACCCACCTTTATGCATAAGGAGCCATATCTGCTCTCAATTGCACCTGTGTAAATCCAGACTAACTCTGTTGAAGTGAATGAAGCCCAGGAGTGAACTTTGGACCCCACTGAAGGCAGTGGGTGCTTTACTACAGATTTCAAAGGGATCAAGATTTGATCCTCAGTTTGTAGCTGTGTAAAGAGCCTGATCTTACTGATGTCACTGTAAACGTTGCCATTTATTTCAATAGGTTCAGGATAAGAATCTAAATGGGAGCAAAATATAAACCAAGATTACCAGTAGCACGCCGGAGACACAATTGGGATGGTTGTCACTGCATATATAATATAATATAATTGTAATTAATTAATTAGGGCCGTCGAGCAACTAAAAGAATTAAACACTATTAGTCGTGCGATTTAAAAAATTAATCGTGATTAATCGCACGGTTAAACAATAATAGAATACCATTTATTTAGATATTTTTGGATTTTTCTACATTTTCAAATATATTGATTTCAATTACAACACAGAATACAAAGTGTACAGTGCTCACTTTATATTTATTTTTATTACAAATATTTGCACTGTAAAAAACAAAATAAATAGAATATTTCAATTCGCCTAATACAAGCACTGTAGTGCAATCTCTTTATCATGAAAGTTGAACTTACAAATGTAGAATTATGTACAAAAAATAACTGCATTCAAAATAAAACAATGTAAAACTTTAGAACCTACAAGTCCACTCTGTCCTACTTCAGCCAATCGCTCAGACAAACAAGTTTGGTTACAATTTGCAGGAGATAATGCTGCCCACATCTTGTTTACAATGTCACTTGAAAGTGAGAACAGGCGTTCGCATGGCACTGTTGTAGCTGGCGTCAGAAGATATTTACGTGCCAGATGTGCTAAAGATTCATATGTCACTTTATGCTTTAACCACCATTCCAAAATATATGTGTCTGTGCTGCTGATGGGTTCTGCTCGATAATGAGCCAAAGCAGAGCGGACCAACGCATATTCATTTTCATCATCTGAGACAGATGCCACCAGCAGAAGGTTGATTTTCGTTTTTGGTGGTTCATGTTCTGCAGTTTCCGAATCAGAGTGTTGCTCTTTTAAGACATCCAAAAGACACCTCATCCCTCTCAGATTTTGGAAGGCACTTCAGATTCTTAAACCTTGAGTCAAGTGCTGTAGCTATCTTTAGAAATCTCACATTGGTACCTTCTTTGTGTTTATCAAATCTGCAGTGAAAGTGTTCTTAAAACGAACATGTGTTGGGTCATCATCTGAGACTGCTGTAACATGAAATATATGCAGAATTTGCTTAAAACTGAACAGGAGACGTACAATCCTCCCCCAAGGAGTTCAGTCACAAATTTAATTAACTCATCAACATAGAAGCATGTCCTCTGGAATGGTGGCTGAAGCATGAAGGGGCAAATGAATATTTAGTACATCTGGCACGTAAATATCTTGCAACGCCGGCTACAAAAGTGCCATGCGAACGCCTGTTCTCACTTTCAGGTGACATTGTAAATAAGCAGTCAGCAGTATCTCCCATAAATGTAAACAAATTTGTTTGTCTTAGCAATTGACTGAACAAGAAGTAGGACTGAGTGGACTTGTAGGCTCTAAAGTTTTACATTGTTTTGTTTTCGAGTGCAATTATGTAACAAAAAAAATCTACATTTGTAAGTTACACTTCCATGATAAAGAGATGGCACTACAGTATTTGTATGAGGTGAATTGAAAAATACTCATTCTTTTGTTTATCATTTTTACAGTGCAAATATTTGTAATAAAAATAATAATATAAAGTGAGCACTGTACACTTTGTAGTCTGTGTTGTAATAGAAATAAATATATTTGAAAATGTAGAAAAACATCCAAAAATATTTAATAAATGTCAATTGGTGTTCTATTGTTTAACAGTGCGATTAATCGTGATTAATTTTTAATCGCAGTTAATTTTTTTGAGTTAATCACATGAGTTAACTGCAATTAATCGACAGCCCTAAATATAATATAATATATAATATCATATGAATAAATAATATATGAATAATTTATTTTTGATAATTTTTCTTTTTACTGCATCCCTTATGGCTGTCACAGAACAATGGTACATCACAGATTTTTTTACTTATTTTTATTAATCACTCACACAGTGCCATTAGTTCACAGTGCCATTAGTACACGTGCTGTGTTGAGCAAGTAATCAAAATCTTATCACGAGGGCTTAAAATCAGTGGGCACAAGCCGCCCCCGTATGGGATGGTACAGTACAAAGCAGAAAAAGAACAGAGTCTGATGCAGTCAATACAGATGCACTGTAGAATAGGTGTGTGATTTAGTGTATATGTTTTGGAGACTGTGTGAGCCATAGTGGAAGATGTTGTTAGACTAAAGCAGTATTTTTCAAGGATAGCAATTTCATCAAACTAAGCTTTGCAGTATGATCTGTATGCTGGCCAGACACATGTCGTGAGTAGCTCCACTTCAGTGGGTTTACTCAGAATTAGACATGTTACCAGAACTGCCCTGGCAGTGTTATAAAACTATCTTGGCTGTCTGAGTACTAGGAAAGCTTCCACACTGCTGCTTAGGTTGGACAATGAAGTAGGAGGAGAGCAAATGGAAAGTTTTTATGCTCAGCTGTTCCGTGTAACCACAATTTAAATAAACCCATCTAGCACACGCTGACATGTCATAACTGCCAATACATGGTCTCAAGATGTCGATTAGTTGCCTTTCCTAGTTCTCCCTAGGAAAATGTAGGAGTTTACAAAGTAGGGTGAAACCCTAAATGGTGCTCAGGAAGGATGGTTTTATGGCTAAAGCCATAAATAAGAGTCAAGAGATCTGGTTCTGTATGCCTGTTACTGACTTCCTATGTGACTTTAGCTTCTGATAATTAAGGCAATGTCTTTCAAAAACGTAACCTTACCAGCTCAGTGCTTCACCTTCCTTACGTATAGAAAGGAAATAATGCCACTTCCTTACCTCATGGGGTTCTTGTGTGACTTAATTCAGTGCAGTTTGTAAAGCACATCCTGATGCTTGGAGTGAAAGTGCTCTAGAAGCCCGGGGCATAGCTCTCCGCTGCTTTGCACCTTGTATCAGCATTTACACATGAGCAAGGGGAGCGGGAAAATACTACAAAATCAGAATGGGAGCATTCTGCACTCACACAGGTTTAAACAACCACACGGGGTGCAAAGCAGTGGATTCCTGTTATTCAGGATTCCAACCTATGACCTAGTCTGTGGAGTTTTCTGTTGGAAATGATACCCCAAGTAATGTTGAAGTTGATACTGCAGGTCCTAAAGCAAACATTTGTGGCTTTACACTGTGCTTTACAAATGTATTAGCTACCTTGAGTTAATCGGCCAGCAGCTAACTAAAGGTAGAAAACTCTACTATATATGTCATACATCCGGTGACCCTAGAAAACAAGGAATACATAAGGAGCTGCATGCAATCTAATCTCATCAGTCCTTATTCTGGCATTGTTCCCATTGAATTCAATTGTTTACATATTGTTTTCTTTTGAAGTTATCTGACTCTCTGGTGTCCTTGAACCCTGGCAAGGGAAGAAGATTTCAAAAATAAAATAATTAATATTTATTGCCTGTACCAATTAGACTCTGTGACATTTGATTTTTTTAAAATCCAGTGATTTGGTTCTTTTCCATTTAGCAAATATTTCTCCCTCCATGTGTTTGGAATCTAGTTGAAATAGTTTCAGTTTATATAATGCCCTGTCTTCATGCCAAAACTTTGTATCCACAAACACCGGCCATGAATGTCAGGACTACCCTGGGGAAAGCTATTTTGTTTCTGCTGCAGAAACACCATGAGAAGAACAAAGCAACCGATGGGCTTGGTCCCACAAAAATAGGCTTTTAGAGGGTTTTTTGGCAGTGGTGTAAAACAGGCATGCTCTGTCTAATGGGGAGCTAATATTTAATATCAAAGTGATACACCTTTTGGGAAGGTGATTTGGGTTATTGGAGAAGGAGATCGTGTACCACTTAGTGGGTTTGAAATGGGTGTGCTTTTCTGCATACTCTTAGAGAAGGCATGTGGACCTGTAAGGATTGAGGGTGATGTGACCCCAGTCCTGATGTATAAATGGCATCCCCCAGGCTGTTTCTCCCTTCAATGCTAGTTTTATTGATGGAGAAGGAACTAGAAGACAGATGGTTTGATCTGGAGATTCCGTCCATGAGGGTTTAGGCCCTTGTTCTGCAAGCTGCTTGGCACAGAGTTTGGGGGCTTTAGTACAGTTCTTGCAGGATTGAGATTTGGGCTAAAGAGGACAGTTCTCCTACAGTCACTGAAGCATGAATTCTAAAATCTTTTGTGTGGATATACATACGAAGTTTTAAACAAATCGATGGGGCTTTTATTTAATATTCTAAAATGGTTGCAGTAGTAGTCAAAGCTGCCTTCAGTAATGACCTGTCTGGAGTCTCGTGAGAGTTTCTCAGAAGTCATCCTCGAGGCAGACCCTGAGTAATGTACAAATCACACAATTAAAACAGGTCTCACTTGTTATACACAGATTCTTTTTAAACAAAATGAATTTTCCCATCGCTGAAAGAGAAGCAAGGGAGGATCAAGAATGTGAAACAGAGAATGTAAAGGAATTTGCCTGATCCAGGTTAAAAGTGGATGAACTATTTTTTACCTTTGCAAGAGATTGTCTGCAAAATGTAACCGTAGCAACAACAGTAATATTCCTTACCCTCCTGAAACGAACAGTTTCCAAAGCACAGCACAGCAGTACTTCTTTAGATGATGCTTTGGCAGGTAGTGAATAATGTGTGACAGTGTACAATACAAAGAAACCTTGTTTTAATCTATTGCTGTGTTCACAAGGCAGGAATAATAATACTTTGCTATTACGGGACATTTTCCATGCAAGGTTCACAAAGTACTTTGCAAAACGCAAATGAATAAAGTCTTGCAACACTCACTTGCATCAGAGAAATGTCATCCCTGTTCTGTAAATGGGTTTGAGTCTAGATTAATCTGCATCCCGTTGAGCTGTCATAGTATTTCATACTTACCTGATGGGAATGTTGTTACGTGTCCAGGTAATCTCTGGCTCGGGGTAGGAGTCCACTACACACATGAATTTAGCAACCTCTTCTACTAATGCGTCCACAGTTTCCAGAGGAGTGTTGATAAGGGGAGCTACAGAAAGAAGGGGAGAAAACATGCGATTTCAATCCTGGGTTTCTTCTGAGCAATGACTGCTAATTCATCAAACCACCTATTGACTTCACAGGCACAAACCAATGGGACGCTGCTGTGAAGGGCCAATGTAAGTGGGGTCACCTCCCGACCCCTTCCCTGGAATTCAGTAATTCTCCGACACGGAACTAGGCCACTCATAACCGGCCAGTGGGGTTGGCAGTTCTCTGCACCCCCAGCACTCGCAAGTCTGCACGCTCTTCCAGTACACACTGGGCCTCCTGCACTAGCACAGTTGAACTGAGGTTCCCATAGGCATTTATTTCCTGGTTTCTTTGTCATGTTTTTTTTTCTTAAACTCTCTAAGGGATAGACAGTGAAGTTACCCCAAATCTGGTGTGATTCAAAGAGTCACAGTTCAGTCCCTGCTTCCCCCTCCATGCCCGCTCAGCAGCAGTGGTTGGCATGTTGGGGGGCAGGGTCAAATCCTAGGCTTTGCCAACTACCTGCCTACACAAGGGGACCTAGTGGCTCCAGCAGCAACTGCTCATCTTTGCATGGACCAGCAATGCTGGATCTATCCGTGGGAATAAGAGGGCTCCTTGACACCCCTGGGTGAGTGTGATGCGCCACTGATGCCAAAAAATGTGAGCTTCAGGAATCCTTGTCATTAATGCAGACTATTTCAGTTCTACTGTATTTCTTTATTTTTTAAAAAATGTGTAATACTATTACTGGCATAGGAATAATTTATAAATGCCTGTAGCAGGGTGGTTACCCTGCTCCTGCCCGGAGAGGTTAAAAACAGCCTGGGAGAGGGCTGTGGCAAGCAGTTCCCAGGCTGACTGGGGAGGCAGCCTCAGCTGGGGCCACACCCCAATCAGGGCCCAGCTGGCCCTTATAAGAGCACAGTGGGCCAGGAGCAGTCAGTCTCTCTCTGCCTGCAGAGAGGGAAGGGCCTGGCTGCTTAGGAGCTCACAGGGTACTTAGAGTGGAGCAGGGCTGGGGGAAGGCCAGAGGAGCTGGGGAGCTCTGGCCTGGAAACCCCCCAGGCTGCAGGCCTTGTTAAAGGCCCAGGAGGGTAGTGGGGTTGCGGAGGGCAGCCCAGGGGTAGGCCAAGGCAGCAGGTCCAAACCCCTCCTTGGCAATGATGAGTGGCCTTTACAGACTGCAGTCTGCCCCAGTGAACAGGGGTTAGATGGTGACTGGCAGCAGCCACTGAGGCGAGGTGAGGATAAGGGGTTGGGGGTTCCCCTGAGTGGGGGTTGCTGCAGTGGGCAGAACCCCTGGGTAAAGGGCACCGGGGTCCGGGAGGGACACGGGGGCCAGCAGCAAGTGGGACACTGGCTTGCAGAGGGTGCTCTGGAGCTGGAAAAAAAGCTACTTCCCAGGAAACCAGCAGGAGGCGCTGAAGGGGTAAGTCTCGCCCCGTTACAATGCCCGTAAGGTACGGCAATACCACAGCCTGACTGACACACAACCTCTTGTTTCTTTTTCCTTAATAAGCTAGTGCCCAGTGTGATACAGGTAATAGATAACTATACCTTACATTTATTATCGGGCACCCATCATCAACTGAAATGCTGCTTTATCTTTGGAAAGGTATTTTCCAAGCCCCTTGGTAAAAGCTGAAGCATAGTCGGGAGAGATCAAAAGGCACCTCTCATAATTATTTTCCCTCCCCATGGTGATCCCAGCAACCAAAGATTCACAACCGGTAACTCTTAATGTATGACTGGTAGAGACACACCTCCAGTACTTGGTACACTGGATTTCATTGACAGCTGTGCATATATTTGAACTAGCCGTCTGCTTCTCTGTGAAATACTGCCGTGAACATGAAGGAGCAACAAAAGAAATCCCAGTGACCTTTAAACAGTACAAAGAAAATGATCTTGCCCGTACATAAATTACTAAATAGACATACTGTGTTTACTGCAGAGATGTCTGGTACATTTTGATGTCTCTTGGTGGAAAAAGATCTTGTCTGCTTCCTCTCTAGCCAATACAATCAATCTTAAATATTCCTGAGCACTAAAATGCACCAAAAACATATGGCAATGTGAGGCACTCCAGTATAAATGAGACAGACTATTTAGCTGGTATAGTACAGAATTTGTGCCTGATTCTTTTCTCACTTACCTGGGTGTAACTTAGGCCTCCATTGGCGTTATGGAGTCCAACTGGAGTAAAATTGAGGAGAATCAGGCCCTTCATGCTAACTGTACCTTTCAAGTTCACATTATTGTACAGTATTTTTGAAAATTGCTACCAAAACATGTTTATGCTAATAAAATTTCTTTTCAATACGACTGCAAACTGCCCATAGTGATCAGTAATTACAGCTATGTGAAAAACAAATCATAATTCTGCAGCTAAAAGAAACAAGATAGTTGCATCAGGTTATCACTGCTTTAAAGGATGCAGGGTGTTTGTTTATTACTGTGTAAGAAGTCTCTTCCTCATTGTTCGCAAGTGTTACAGCTGGGGTAAAATCCTGGCCCCACTGAGGTCAATGGGAGTTTTATCACTGACTTCAGTGAAGTCAGGATTTCACTCCCGGTCCTATTGAAAAAGACGTCAAGAAAATAATTGTATTGAAATGTTAGAAACCACACACCGAGGCACTTTTTGAAGGCATTTACTGTTGCTAGTACGTTTTCTGCCCTAAATCTGTTCATTTTAAAGAGGACTTAGTTATTTTGTGAATCATATTTTTATGGCTGGGTTCTATTATGGGATGGATTGGTTGCAACGGCTTTCTTGTATGTGATATTTTAAATGATATTGGCATGCCTAGAACTGTGGAAAGGTGCATTTTGATCTCAAGCTACTTTAATTAATGAATTAGCTAAAATGCATTCTGTATACTGCATACTGATTGTATTCATGAGATAAATGTAGCTATGTTGAGGGAGAATGCAGTAACAGCTGATATACTGGATGTATTACTGATAGTACTTTGCTCATCAGGCAAAACAAGATCCCCTAAGAGTTAGGTAGTAAACAGATAGAATGGACACAATTGAAGAGTTTTATTTTACCTTTTTACTGGTAGATAAGTTACCATTGGCACTAGCATTATTCTGCTTTATGGGCCTCATCCAGCTCCCATTCAAATTAATGGCATAACTCTCAGGGCAAGATTAACCACTATATGTATAGGGAATGGCCTCCAAACTACTAATATTTTACCTGTCAGAAAAACAGTTAAAAGAAAACTTGTTAGCAGTGCCCTCTGTTGCTTTCTAAGCCTTTATAACGATAATGTTAATAACTGGGGATATCCTGAACTTACCTTCCTATCTTTTTATTTTCCCAGATTAAAATTTAATATTGGGATAATAGAGAAGATTGAGAAAGTATTATTTTACTAGGATGAGAGAAAAGAAGGACACAGGTCCAAGCAGTACTTGATGTGTTTGTGTGGCACAGTAATTTGTGGGTTGTGCCACCATTTTGTTTCTGTCCAGGGAGAGATCCCCAAAATGGCAGTGACCGATGCTTATTTAGAGATTGACATAAAAAACCTCCTGGTGTCGATGAGAACCACTGCTTTCCCAGCCAGAAAATCACATCCAATCAAATGGTGTCCATATTGCCAATGTTTAAATTAATTGAGAAAAATGCACATGCCTAGGTTTGAGAAATCGGCCAAGACTTTTGCGTGCTGCAGCACACAGGTCAGTCAGGACTATGCCTCTGACATTTTTAGATCTCATTATAACTTTAAATAGCATCATAAGACCTATAACTTCTCCATCCTTAAGGCCATTCAGATGCCATTTTCCTGGGCAACAACTGTAAGTTTAGGAAGTAGTAAAAGGATTCACGGTCAATATTAAAAGTTTCTAGTGAGAAGATAGTGGACCCTGTTCTAAGTTCAGTCCATCAGTGAGTACTGGGTTGTTTTTTATTTTGAAATTAATCTTTTTTAAGTGAACAAATGAAACAGGAAAATAAAATTTATCCCCATTCCGGCATTGTAGACTCTTGGAAATAGTGAAACTTCTGTAACTATGAACTGCTCTTGTGTGCATTTCTGACCATTGCTGGTCCAGCTTTGCTGCAAAACCTATCAAAGATATTATTTTGTGGTCTTTTCAGCACACTTGGTTGCATTCACATGTTCAGACTCGCTCATGAAACACGCCAATTGACATGAACATGACGTTTAGCTTTCTTAAAAAGAAAATCCAGTGCAAATGTTTCATGAAAGGGCAGATGTCTCTTCATTGCATGATGGTATCAGAAAAATCATTTCTATCTCGTTTTGTTTTCTTGTCTCCACAGTCTTGCTACTATCTACCATGCTCTTCCCAAGCCTTATCTAGTGTTGCTGCCTTAATACAAAACCTTGGGGCCAATTTCCATGTCAACAAATTTGGAAAGCAAACAAAACAGTCTGATCACTGGTTATAAGTATTCATCTTGACTTGGGCAGAGCTATTGGCATAATAGGTGACTAGCAGCTTCCTCTTGGGTTAAATTTCTTTTTCCAGAGGCAGTGTAGTTTATGGTATATTTTGATCCGGTCCAAATAATCAATATGAAAAAATTAAAAAGTTACATTCGCCTAGCTGACAGTTGGGTTCCCTTATGGTTAATCTTCAGTTCCCATTTCAATAAAGTTGCATTTGCATCTCAGAATTTTCTGAACCGATTTTTAGAATCTCATATGGCTACTTATTGTGTGTGTGTGTGTGTATATATGTGTGTGTGTGTGTATATATGTGTGTGTGTGTGTATATATGTGTGTGTGTGTGTATAGTGTGTGTGTGTGTGTGTGTATATATATATATATATATATAGGCATTTTATATATACACATGTATATGCATTATATTTACAAATATGATTTATACATCTACATACATAGACGCACCAGAATATCATAAATCTTTTGATCCTAACACATAGTATACCCATCAGCAGCTAAGTCTTAGTAGCTTCCTTTGACATGACAAACACCCATCCTATGCAAACTGGACCCAAAGAACATCCTTGCCCTTTACAGTGACACTAAGTGCTATCTGTAAATAAACACCCTTCAGCTTTAGGTAGAAATGCAGGATTATTTCATCATTATCCTCTAAAGACAATAAAGAAATGACCAGACTAGTGAAACTGAAAGCAGCGCATTTATACAGTTTTCAGTAATGACACCAGGGTCCCGACTTACAAGCCTTGCCTGTCCTTATAAAAACTCCTTAACCAGTCACAAAAGCTAAGAGAAGATGAAGGCTGTTTAAACAAACCTTTTGGAAGTTTTTCAGCTAAACTGAAGGCCGCCAGGGTGAAGATATGTACGAGTGGAATGTTCATTAAGTCTTTCATGGTTAATCCAGAATCATACAACGCTCCTTTAGGCAAAGTGCACTGAGTTCCCTGCCAGTTTCATTTTAAACCATGGTTTGTTACAAAGTGCCTCAGTTAATGACCGTCTCTGCTGCGGCGTGTATGGGATCTAACTATAATCAGGAATTCTCAGACGTGGCTGCAGTGATGGACAGGGCCAGCTGGTGTGCATCCACTTAGGTCAGTACGAAAATGTGGGGCTCATGAAACAAGAGAAAGCAAATCCCTTTAGAATTCCTTTTGAGCAAAGAGAGTGGAATACAATGGCTGAATGCCTTTCCAAAACAATAACCTGACCCAGTACAGCACAAATTGCCAGGCCTTTACCCCAGCCCAAGGTAAATACACTAGTAATACATATGTTTGTCATTGACACTGGATTTTCTTTCAATTTGGTCCTCTTTTTCTCCTTCTCTCTCTCTTTTGTCATAAACCCTGCTGAGTAGCTGAAATATACCACCTGTTCTACTTCAGAGAGCACTTTTCTTTTGCTTAGTATGTACATCTGCTAGAGCACGCGATGTTTGAACCTGTGAACTGAAAGCTGGTCTTGTTTATCAAGGAGACTGTCAGTTCTCCAGATTGGTTGCAGCAAACTGAGAAAGCAATGTCATATCCTGCAAATAGACTCTTGAACCCATACAAGCTTTGGGAAAGTGAAAGATTAATAGCTATCAGGGGAAGTTGCTCAATTTGCGCTCTGGAAGACCAAGTGTATTTCATTATAATCTCAGCAACAGCATGGTCAATTCAGGCAACAGTTGATGTATTCATTTTATGAAATATACATGTTAAATCTAGGCATGATTATCTCAGTGATTTCTTATTATTAGCCAAATCTATATTGAAAAACAAAGCACATTTTCAAGGGAACCTCAATACAACACCTACATATGCACCCAATTTTGTATTTATTGTATATTTTTGTGTTTGTGCAGATGCCCAGCATTTGCATGAGTCCCAACCATGCCAGCAGTGCAGATTGGCATGTTAGTCTCCAAATTTTCAAAAGTGGTCACTAATTTTAGGTGCCTCCCTTTTTTTTAATTTACTTCATTGTATCTTCACTTCCTGAAGATGGGCCCTGAAAAATTGAGGACCCCAAGATTAGTGAAAACTTTTGAAAGTATAGGCCTAAAGAACTATTTAAATTACAACTACCGAATATCTGGGCTTTTCCCACATCCCCCACCTTGTGTGCCTGCTGTAGACAAGGAGTCACTTGTAGTGAATGTGCTAAAGCACTGGTGAAGGAAGGAAGAAAAGTCCTACCTATCCACGGAGAACTAGCAAGGGCAGTAGCAGTCCTGAAACACGCCTGAAACATCTTATAGAGTGAAGAGCTCAAAGGGGCTAGAGGGAGGAGTAGGGGAGAGAAGGGGGATACAGGAGGTTTGGATTCAGAGCACAGATACTGGAAAAACCTGAGCAAAAGCAGGGGACTGCCTTTTTGTTGTGATTGTACTGCCCCTAGCCCAATGGGGTCCTGGTCCATGACTGGTGCTCCTTTGGTGCTCCTATGGAAATAATAATGATAATAATAATAATAATAATATAGAATAAAGAATGGGAAAATCTGAAGGGAGGGAAACAAGTTCTAGACAAATTGCTCTAAGAATTATAGATGTCAATGCGTCTGATGAAGTGGGTATTCACCAATGAAAGCTTATGCTCCAATACGTCTGTTAGTCTATAAGGTGCCATAGGACTCTTTGTCACTTTTTACAGATACAGACTAACACGGCTACCCCTCTGAGATTTCAGTAGTGAATGTGGTCCTTTTTATACAGGTTTTTAGCCATCCTATTAAATATTTTTAAACTCTAAGTATGGTTTGAAAACCTATAGAAAGGTCACTGTTTTCTTGTTAGTTCTATAGCATTTTACCATAAAGGTAGACAGTAGGGGGTAAGGGTGAAACCTAAGGCATAGGAGAAAGCAGAGATAAAGGGAAGGAAGAGAGAAACAAGGGGAAATTTGGGGGAAGGATGCAGGATCTCAGGAAAGGACAAGAAAGGTCTTTATGAGGAGTCAGGGTTGCAATGTATACAAATAGAGTAGTATCCCTTTAAATAGCTTGTGAGACATCTAGTGGTGCTCGCTGTGTTCTTTAGTATTGGAGCTAGCAGAAGCCAGTCAGAGCAGAAGTGTGTAAGTGTGTGTGTGTGTGTGTGTGTGTAAATAAAAAAAATGGTTATTTAGGGGCCACTGTGCCTCAAGTAGGGTTGGCATCTCCAAGATTGTCCTGGAGTCTCCAGGAATTAAAGATTAATCTCTAAGTAAAGAATATGTCATGTGCTGAAACTTCCAGGAATACATCCATCCAAAACTGGCAACCCTATGAGTCTGTAGTTTCTTCATATTGTTTTTGTTGCAAAAAAGCAAAAGATACAACTGGGAGGCTCAGGAACTTGGCGAGGAGAAGAAAGGTGTTGGGGGGAGACAAAGACACAGAAGAATTAGATTCAGAAGGGGAAGATGCCCCCGGAAGATAAATGAGTATAGGAAGAAGAGAGGAATCTTCCTTTTCCAGGCCACCATGCATTCCTTAGGAGAGGCAATAATTATGTTTTCTTATTTTAAAAAAAAAAGGGGGGGGTGTTGTTCTGCATGTGAGTTTTGTGGTCCGTAGTCAGTAAAACAGGGCAACAGCACCACACACTTACTGCTGCCACCTTTACTCCAGAAGCTTTCAGTCACCAAGGATTCTACTGTAGACTGTCACAATAGCACCACAATGTTTGGTTAGTTTTCCCTCACAGATCACTAAGAAGCCGGGGAGCAGCCAAGGGATATGCAATAATATTGGGTCTAAGTTAATGTTGTGCGGAGTTCTTTGGAATTTCCAGGCTTTTGAATACTTGGTTTCTCAACTTCACTTATGCATTGACAGTAGTTCTTGCAATAAACATATGGAATTCAGTGGAATTTTCCCAGACAGGGAAATGGAGTTAAAGCGGCCAGAACTTCGTACGTGTGTTTGTGAGAGACAGAAAGAAATACAAGATGGTGTGTGGTATTACAACAATGTTGTTGGCATTTGTTTGGCGTTGCAACATTACTTAGGAGTAAAATTCTTCAGATGAAGCACTTTTTTAAGTGGGGGTTAAAGTTGAAAGTACATATCCGTGAACTGAATATTAAAGTTATTTAAACTAAAACAAACCTTGGGGAACTAAGAAATTCAGAGTTAAGGCAGAATTTACAAAAAAAGAAACACAAATGCCCGGAGAGTCCGCATCGCTATATACATCACTGACCTCCTACTCCAGCTCTATTTTGAGGACTTTAGTGTTGCACCTTTATGTTAACCCAGGACTGAATTTCATCCTCAGAACCTGCTCAATCAGTTGAGTTTGGTTTTGTAGCCAAGATTTTTATAGGGGCTTGAAGTCCACTGGCATAGGCTGCAGAAATGTGTTATTTGGTGAAGCCTTTATATTTTTAGAGTGACCATATTACACCTAACCTTTCATGTGACCCTTCTTTTTTTTTAATTGAGGCTTTTAACTTTTCCTTAAAATGAAAGAAGATAATATATTGGTTAAATTTGAATGGAAAGTAGTGCACATGTGAACCAAAGACTATTGGTTTTACAGATTTTTCCAGACACATAGATCAGATTACTATTATTGTTTTACAATGGTACCTAGAGGTCCCAGCCAAGATTGGGATCCCATTGTACTAGATATTATACACAAACATAGTAGACAGGCCCTGTTCTGAGAAACTTACAGTTCCAATAAAGACTTACTGGAAGTCAGTTGGAGTACTTACAGTGCACTAAGTTAAGCATATGCAGAATCTTTTGCAGAATCGGTGCCTATAAAAACAAGATTGGGAAAGGGTTGGCGAGGATACTTCGTCACTACTGGAGCATGCTGAATTAGACATTGGCTATAATAATTTAACCCTTTTTTCTATTCATGAATCATTTAAAAATTGATCTTGATTTCTGTAAAGAAATTCGCTAGACAAATATCGACTTTGTCAGGAGCCGAGAGGAAGAATCTAAGACATCCATTATTCTTGTAACACTCTCTTGCTATATATTGTACTGGATTTTTTAAGTTACAGGATCTGCCATAGAGGATGTGGTCATTGACCAATCTAATCCAGTATCTTAGGTTTGACCGTGGTCATTACCTGACACCTTAATGAAATATGCAACCCCCTTGTAAGGAATCTAGCTAACTACTATGATGTGTGCAGGGGACATAGTAAAGCATGAGATTTAGTTGCCCTTATAGTCTTAACTCCTACAGCTACAAATGTTTTTAATGATCATAAAATTATCCAACTTTTAAACGCAGCCCCATGGTATTACTATCAATAAGGCTCAACAACCTCCTGCAGCAATGAATTCCACTCTCAGCTGTGTAAAGAAGTATTTCCATTAAATTTATTCTAAACTTGCTTCCCTTTAGTTCAATCAAGCATCCCACTTGTTCTTTAATGACATGAAGGGATGAAAAGGAGTGATAAATTCATTTTCACTCTGCCATTCATAATGCTGAATAATGCTGTCAAGTCCTTCTTAATCTTCTCATTCTGAGACTAAATTATCTCAGACTTTGAATTATTTCATTATATTTAGTGGTACCATAGTTCAGGTGCCTCAGGCCCCCAGTCTCTGTTGTGGCCTGGGCTCTCTGGCCAGACTACATCTCCCATGCTACAATGCAGTCTCCCTTCTGACTGGCATGTGGTGGCTCATTGGAGTCCCAATTCGGGGTGTATCATGGGAGTTGTAGCCCAGCCAGAGAGACTGGCCCATATGGGAAAATAGGGGCATCAGTCACCCAAACTACAACTGCCCAATCTCTTTCCTCCTATTGTGGAAGTGCCGAGAAAGGAGCAGCTATTTCAGCCCTATGGCCTGCATGTGGCTTGTGGGGTCGGGGAGGGAGAGGGAATGTTCCCTACACAAAAGTCCAATAACTTAGGCTTTACACGTATATGGTGAGTCTTGGTCTCAGAGAATGCAATTCTGCTGTAAGAGAATCCTTTCAAAGCTAAAGTCAGTTCAGTCCCTACAGAGCCCCCTACCCTGAAACATTTCCCCTTAATTGGTATAATTTGGGAGAGATATCCATCTTTCATTTACTTCCACACTTTCTCCATCCCCCACGTTCACACAGACATGCAAGCTGACACCGAGCC